TAAGAAAAGTACATATTGAGACCGAGTCCGTTTAAAAATAGCAAGACTGAAAAATCTGAGAAAAGTATACATAGAGACAGACTCATTTCAAAAATAGGAAGACTAGGACATATAAGAAAAGTACATATTGAGACGAAGTCCTTTTAAAAATAGCAAGATTGAAAAATCTGAGAAAAGTATACATAGAGACAGACTCATTTAAAGTAGTAAGACCTAAAGTAGAAAAAAGTACATACAGAGAAAAGTACATATAGAGATAGATTTGAGAAAAGTACATATGGAGAAAAATACATCTGTAGTACACATACGGAGAAAAGTACATATAGAGATAGATCTCTTTCAAAAAATAGCAAGATTGATAAATCTGGAAAAGTATATATAGAAAGAAGCAAGGTTAGATTATATGTGAAAAGAATAAATAGTTACTGACAATGGAAATGCAGCACATAAAATTTTCTTATATTTAAGATGAATAGTGTTTTTTTTAATTATTTTTTTTAATTAAGTTCTCCCTCATTTTAAAAAAGTGATGATTTTAAATTACTTTTATGATACAAAATGTAAAAAATAATTAAAAGTTTCAAAGTAAATTATTAAACAATTATTAGGTATTTCCCAATAAGTTTACATTCTCGACTGAATGTCACAAAAACCCATACTATATTCAATCCCTAATTTTTGTCTTTGTGGCTCTTAATTTTTCGTTCTTTTATTTTTACATCAGTTATAGTTGACAACAATGTTAAATTCTGGTTTTTGAGAACATAATTTGATTTTTAGAGCTGCATTGTTGCATCTGGGTCTTGCTTTCTTAAACCCGAATAAATCCATCCTAGATTCATGTTTTCTTAAATAGTTTTTTCGCTGCATTCAGATATATTTAATTCAGGAATACTTACTTAAAGAAACTAATATGTAATAAAGTATAACGCTTGAATTAGAGTAATAAAATTTTATTTGTTAAAATAATTCATATATTAAATAAAATACATGCAATAAATAATTATGTATTGCGAAAATCGAATAATGTTAGAAATTAAAACATCGTGAGAAATTAAAATATTGTTTAAATTGCATCCAAAATTTATAGCACGCAGTGAAAGAATTGAGTAAGTAAAATAAATCGCGTGAATCGAATCGTGTGAAAAATGTGCTAGGGAGATGAATGATGTTAGAAAAAAAGTGGAATTTCAATGGATAGATATTTTGATAACATCTAAATCGATCTCAAGGCTTATGAAACGTAGCCAGTACGCAACTTAGTTCAGATCTCAGTCACATAGTGAACTGCTGATGAAAAAAAATTTTTTTGACTTCTTTACGAAACAGGATTAACGTAATTTGATTGTAAAATTCAATTGTAAAGTTTTGGCATAGCTTGAATAAAAGTGAAATAAAATAAATCACGTATTACCTTCAAATTCAGAATTAATGTAAAGTGTTTATAGTAAATAAAAACATTCAGTTTCTTGTGAGGAAAATCATTTTTGAATTTAATTACGAGGATTTTAAATTATATTTTTAAGAGAATAGTTAACTCCAGAAAGGAGTTAAAACCAGAGAAAAAATTTAGGTTATTTTTTATTTATTTATTTATTTTTTTCCCCTTGATTACAACTTTTTGCAAATAAAATTGCAATTTAGGAAACATTGAAACTAAGAAAGAACAAAGATGACCCACGTAGAGCTTCATTTCCAAAATGTGCTCCGCGGTCTTATCATTGCAAGATACGATGTATCTTAGTCATTTCAATGGGTTCCAAGCAGTAGTTTTTGACAAATGTTCGTTACTGTATTTTTAAATTGTATGCTTTTTGAAAAAAAAAATTTAAATTTCGAAAGTAACCTTTCTTTATTCTTTAAATAACCATAAGTTTAAAGCAACCATTTTTTTTTTGCTAGATTGCAACTTTTTGAATAATACAAATTGTGGCACTTTAAGAAACATTAAAACTAAAAAAAGCACAAAGATGACCCACGTAGAGATTCTTTCCAAAATGTGCTTCGTGGTCTCGTCATTGCAAAATACGATGTATCTTAGTCATTTCAATGGGTTCCAAGCAGTAGTTTTTGAGAAATGTTCGTTACTGTATTTTTAAATTGTATGCTTTTTGAAAAAAAAAATTAAATTTCGAAAGTAACCCTTTTTTATTCTTTGAGTAACCATAAGTTTAAAGCAACCATTTTTTTTTGCTAGATTACAACTTTTTGAATAATACAAATTGTGGCACTTTAAGAAACATTAAAACAAAAAAAAGCACAAAGATGACCCACGTAGAGCTTCTTTCCAAAATGTGCTCATCGGTCTCATCATTGCAAGGTACGATGTATCTTAGTCATTTCAATGGGTTCCAAGCAGTAGTTTTTGAGAAATGTTCGTTACTGTATTTTTAAATTGTGTGCTTTTTGAAAAAAATTACATTTCGAAAGTAACCATTTTTTATTCTTTAAATAAAAATAGTTAAGGAATACTAAATGATATTACAAATGAGCAAGACTTATTATCGACTTGATAAAATTTTTCTTAACGTAAAAATCGTTTGAAGATCTTGATTGTTTAGAAAACTTCGGAAAATAAAACGATCAGTGCACGCAATTCAATATCCATTAGTTCACATAGCCTTGCTTCCGAAACATAATCGTTTCTCAAATATAAGAAAATAAAAATACGCAGCACTGACATTTCATTCCAAGCATCTGTCTTAAGTAAAAAATTTATGTCCATAGTATTGATTTAAAACTCGTAATTTTGGGTTTAAATTCCATACAGCCACAGTTTATTGTTTACAGTGGTTGTAAACTTTAGAAACTATCCAGTTAATGTAAATATACTAGAATTCTTCGAAAAAGGAGCATTTTTCCCATTACTGCAAAGTAAAAAGTCAGATATTAATACATTTGAGAAAATGCTTATCTTATGGGCATAGTAGTTTTAACATAAATAAAAAATTGATTTTGATCTTATATATGCTTATGGGTAATTCTCAGAAAATTCTTTAGTATTCTCAGACTCCTTAGAAATTTTTTTTAAATTTAAAATCAGAAAAGTTTATTTATTTTTTTGAAAAAACATTCATTTAATAATCATAATTTATACCTTATGGAGAGGAGTTTAGTTTATATTATAAATTTTATAGCAATTTCCTGGCATTTAAGTGCCAGGAAAATGACAGCCAGGATAATGACGTTTTGTAATTCCATAGCTTTTTTCCCCTATGTTCCCTTACTTTTAGACCTGGCACTTTTATTAGCGTAATTAATATCAAGGCATTTTAAAAGAGCTCAGACTGACTAATGTAATTTATGTTATTAATGATTTTGAAAAGGTAAGATAAGAACCTACTTGCTTTTTAAAATCTTCGTACAAGGATTCTTCTCTGAAACTGTTTTCGCTGTTCCTACTGGATTTCTCATAACGAAATGACTTACAAATCATACATTTAAAGAAAAATAGCGCTAGGGAACAATTTTTCTTTGTTTTCTGCTGTATGAGATTTTTGAAAAGATTTTGGATATTTTCGTGTCTCTGATTTCAAATCTGCAAGCTACAATTTAATAATATATTCGTAACCAGGATTTTTTATAATTCCCTTAACATTTTTAAAATTACCTAATGGTATTAATTAAGCTTTAAACTAAATGTCCTCACTTCTCTGCTACGTAAGGAGTGGTAGCAAGAAGGTGATAATACATTTCAGTTTATGATGCGATACGTTAAGATTAAAGGTTTTTTGCATTAGAAGTTATTTTCAAAAAAGCAGATAAGTGTATATGTATGTATATAAACCTATACGTTCTTTAGAAACTTGTACATCCGGACCAAAATAAATTAAACTAAAAATATCATTTTGAAAAAAATCTGTTACCTTCCGAACAAAGCTAATTTCAGATATAAAATCCTCTCACTCGAATTAGGTAAGGTCAAATACTTGCATAAATACAACAACAAAAATTTTTCCCAGTGTAATTAAGGCTAGCGTCATTTATTTAGGTTATAGAGAAAATAAAAATAAGAGGCCAAGAAAATGACACATTTTCGTGTGACGTACAAATTATTGACTGTAATCTTATTTTTACAAATTATTTTGGAAATCATTCCTTGTGCATATGCTCCGAAAATGCCTTTGATAGTTAAGAAGTAAAATATTAAACAGAAAAAAATTTATATACAGTTTCAAAGCAAGTGATTATTGAAAATATCACTAGCGGCATGCCAGGAAAATGGAAAATGACATTTTAAAACTTAACATGCATTTTTAAATATAACTATTAAAACCTGTGTGAAATCATTATAAAAGCTTACAATAATGGTATTAATTTAACTTTTAAAAAATCATCATTTTATTTAACCCTCTGACGCAGAATTTTCATTAAACATATTTTTCATACTTTTTTTCAATATTTGTATTAGTTTGAATCAAAATTAAAAAAATATTGTATTTAGCATTTTAATAATTTATCATTATCAAATACATCATGACACACCAGTATCTTTTTCTGCGTTGTAGGTAAAATCTTCCGAACATGGCTCCCTTCGTAACAATATTTCTTCAAATTTGCAGTTATTTAGATCTTAAAGAAACAGTTATTCATCACTGAAATTTCTTAAATTTACAAAATCAATTGTTAATAAATTTTTCAATATGAATAAAAAAAATTTTTTTTCAAGCTACTTTTATTGGATTTTATGTTTTTGTACAAATATCTCTCTCCCGATTATCTAACAGACTTTTTAGTAACTATTAGACTTTTTATTATAATTATAAAATATCAAAATATATTTTTACTTGTAATTAAAGCGTCAGAAAAAAATATATATTAAAGAGACACTGGTGTCCCTTCTGCGACAAAAGGTTAATGGTCTTAGAATTTTTAGGCAGTTACAGTAAGTTGTAGCATTTGGTGCGAATCACCTTTATACCCACAATCGACAAAAATATTATTGTTCTGCATTAAAAAAGGAAATAATTTAAAGGCCGATAAAAAAGAAAACTTTTTACCTGGATATGTGTCCGGTATTATTAATGAAGGCCCAGATGGTATTACTTCTCCTTTCTCATTTACAGTAACAGCTCTTCCGTGTATTTTTCGACAAGTATATACTTTGAATAATAATATGGGTTTTACAAGATTAAAGTTGCCAGGGTTTTGAAACTTTTTATTTTCACCTTCATGAATTTTCACAACTTGGGGCAAAGAGAAATTGTTAATGAAATCATACATAGGTATAGGTTCATCCATCCACTCCGTCATAAAATCTTGTTTACGAAACATATTCATTTTGATCAATTTAAATCCGCAAGTATCATTCAAATTTGTATCCCTTAAAATGCAGCTGTCAAATTAGTACTATACTTAATATATCCTTATATAAAGCTAGTACTGTCTCTGGAATAACGAAATTTGTATCACTTGATCCGGATCTCTAGTATCAGTATAGTTCTCAAAGTATTCTTAAAACTTGTATTTCCAGATAGGTTACGTAAGTAACAGTATCAGTTGGAAATGATCACCTACAAGCTGTAGAGAAAATTGTAGTATTTTTTGAATTAAAACTGTCTTTAAAGTATCACCCAAAAAGTATCAGTCAAATGAGTACTGTCCTTGAAGCATCAAAATTTGCATCACTTAGTACGGATCTTCGAAATCAGTACAGTTTTCAAAGTATTCTTAAAACATGTATTTCCAGATAGATAACTTTAAGAGTAGTATCTGTTGAAAGAGTACTGTCCTTGAAACATCAAAATTTGTTTTACTTGGTACGGATTTCCGAAATCAGTACAGTTTTTAAAGTATTCCTAAAGCATGTATTTCCAGATCGATAACTTTAGGAGTAGCATTAGTTGAAAGGTATCACTCACAAAAACTGTAGAGAAAATTGTTGAATTTTCAAATTGAAACTGTCCCTGAAATATCACTCAATAAGCATCGGTCGAATTCAAACTGTCTTTAAAATGTCAAAATTTGCATCACTTCACACGAACCTCTGGAATCAGTATAGTTTTCAAAGTATTCTTAAAGATTGTATTTCCGAATAGGTAGCGATCGGAACAGTATCAGCTGGTAAGTAACACCTAAAAATTGTAGAGTTCTTGATTAAAAAAAATCACTGGAACGAGTGGAGGTTTTTATTATAATTATTAACTGGACGAAGTTATCAGCAAGCTAGCATTGTATTTCTAATCATTAAACCACAAGTTATCAACATAATTGCAGATTTTAATTCACCACCAAAACCCTCCAATATCAGCGCAACGGATAGGTATTTTGGAAATGCACATTAGAGCGACAATCCAATAGACTTGCTTGTCTGCTTTAGAAAAGAATTCTGATCGAAGAGTTTTGGGTAATTCTCGTCTGAAGAAACATAACAGCTGATGATAGATAACCTTGCGCTGTTTTCATTCCTGAGTTATTTTATTTTCCACGCATTGGTGACGCTTCAAAATGTTTTTTTGAGAACTTAAAAGATTTTGTTCTAGTGCTCTACTGTAGTTAGTGTAAGGGAAAAGCTGGGAATTAAACGGAAATAATTTTGCCTCCAGCGCATCGTTTCACCCGTAACTTATGTAACGGTTAAAGAACATATCAAGCGAAATAGGAATTTAAGAACAAAGTATATAGTCTCATCATATTCTCACAAACAGCTTAAAGAAAGATGTTTGACATTTTTCTTATCTCTACAAATTTATGATGTTTACAATTACCGAGCATTAAAATCGTCACATTCTCATATTTAAAAACGAAAATCGATGACGCGAGTAAATGAAATAAAAGTAAACTGCAACGATTTTTTTTTTCTTCATGGGAGATTTAAATCGTTTGCAAGCGACAGTTGCAAAAACGTTCCATTAATTGCTTTGCTCTCCTTTCAAATACTTTAGAGATTTTATTGCTTTAGGAAATGTTTTAAAATTATTATAAATAAACAGTAAGACATGAATGACAATGAGTTAACTTATGAAATTGCCAAAAGCATTTAAAGTTAAGTACAATATTCGAAAACGTTTTGTTTGGTTTCGCTTCTTTTCTCGGATAATTTAACAGGTTTGCTAATTTAAAAAATTTCACTTTTTAAATTGAAATTTAAAATTTAGAAAATTTTTGTTAAAAACTTGATGACAAGCGTTAATGGAATTATTTTTCCATGGAAGATTATCTCATGGAAGATTATTCCATGGAAGATTATCCCATGGAAGATTATCGTTTTCAAACGATATTTATAGATTATGCAATCAATTGCTTTACTCTGCTTTCAAATACTTCAGAGATTTATTTGCTTTAAAAACTTTAAAAATTACTATAAATAACTTTCCTACTAATAATTTTACTTCGCACATAAAATTTCCAAAAACATTGAGAAAACACTACACCATTATTTTTATATTCAATGACTTTTTCTTTAAATTTAAATGCAATATTCATATTTTCCGATATAAATATTTTGAAATTACTTTCAAATAAGTTTTTTTGATAATTTTAATAGCTTTTAAAATTGACAGTTGCAATTGATAAAGGTGCCACCTCTTCTTATTTTTTACAAAAAACAAGTACAAATTCGTTTTGTCATTCTTTTTCTTTTTTGATTTTTTAGTTTGTTGCATGGGAAACGAACACTCCGCTTAAAATTTTTTATAAAAATAAATGCCGTAAATTCATTGTTAAACAAATGCCAGCATTTTTTTTATTTATTTATTTGATTGAGTCGAAAAATTTCGTACAATTTTCAATCCTGGTTCAGTTTTGAGTATTATAAGTAACTTAGAAAATCAGAAATAATCTCTAAAATTAAATTAAATTTTCTCAATCACATAACCCAAAATATTTTTTGAATCTTATTTACATGAATTTTCATTTTTTTAATTGACACGTCTTGTCTCCAGGTTTTAAAATTAACGGTCTAATAATTATATTAAATTTAAGAAAAAGTTTAAAAGAATTTAGTTTTTATGAGAATGAAAGAGTGGATGAAATAATATTTTGTATGTTCTATTTCTACCAACACGCTTTTCTATTTAATAATAGCTCAACAATTGATTTTTTTTTAATTAAAAACTCACACAAATATTTAAAGATAAATCGATAGATCTTAGTTGATAGCCAAATGGACAAACTTGAAAAGCTGATAGATTGATTTTATAGCATATTCTTAACTAATTCAACTAATAAATTTTGTTATTTATTTTATAACGTTAATATTCTTTATTAGTTCAAATTATTTTCCTTGACTTAATTCTTTATTTATTTTTGGTAGCTGAAATAATCCTTATTAATATAACTCATCTTTCTTTTGTTTCACTTCTCATATTAATATTTTTTAGGGGGGTGGCATTAATAAAGAAGCAGATATTAAACTAATTTTATTTTTTTAAAAACTATGCTTATAGTGTATTTTAATGATGTTTATTTATTTAAATTGTTTATTTGAGAATTAACTCCAAATGTACAATGTACAAAGTAAAAAACGGACCACGCTGAATAACTTTTGATCTAATGATGTGACCTTCACGCTCTAGGACTCAATATTGATAGTTAGAGGGGGTGACTTAAAATATGCCAACAAATTCCAGACGAAATTAAGTTAGGAAATAAGACGCAAAAACGTACTTTCTCTGAAAAAACATACCTTTTTTTCGGCGGTTTCAAATTTCTGACCTGTGAAATATAGGGGGTAGCCAATTATAAATTTCGTTTATCCAAACATGAATTTGACCAAAATCTGTCGAAAAGCTCCTGAGAAATCAAATTTTAAAGAAGTCGCATATTTAAAATTCGATTTCTCACTATTCAACTCTACCTATTCAACCGATTTTGCTCAAATTTTGTATTATTCCATACAAAATTACATACTTTAAATTGATGTGAAAAAATTGTATGTCTTACAATTCAAAACGACTGTTATTAACTAAAATAATAAAAATAATAAATATTTACTGAAATTTACTTTTTACCTGGAATTATTTTCGGATAAACGTCTTTTATAATCTTTATAATTTGGATAAACGGTTAAAAAGGTGGGATACCCTTTTTGCTTAATTCGCTGATTTTTTTTTTTTTTTTTTTTTTTTTTNTTAGCATCATCTTTTATTCCTTTTTTATTGTACGCAAAAACTTATCAATTCGCTTAAAAAATTCTCGAGATACTGAAAAATGCGCAAAAAGGATAATTAACATTAAGGAGTCTAAACTTTGGATTGCTCTCTCGAACAAACTATGGGGACCATATTTCCCAGATTTCTGCTACACTCTATATTTTAGGGTTCAGATATCCGAATCCGTTGGGGGGAAAATGCATGTTTATTCAGAGAAAGTACGTTTTTGTGACTGATTTCGGGACTTAAAACATCGTCTGCACTAAATAATTAGTATATTTAAGATCCCCCCCCCCCACTCGTATCATCAAGAAGGAGTCCTAGAGCACTAAGATCCAACCATTAGATCAAAAGTCATTCAGGTTAGTCCTTATTTTTGGCGTAGGGGAGAGTGGGGTCAATTGTAACAGGGTACGATTGTAACTGAGCAAAAATTTCGAGTGTCGGGTTCTAGATTTGGTTCCTAGGTGGCGCACAAGGTGTATTTAATAATTCTACATGTACACCCCTGCTGGCAACCACTTTTATGTATTTTTGAAAGAGTTACATCATAAAAGATATTTTCCCGCTACGTAAATACTTTTTTTGGTATTAGAATATTATATAGAAACAAAGTAATTTTGTTTAAACAAATAAAAATTATTAACCGAATATGTAAGTGGACACCTTAATTAACATTTCAATAAAAAAAATTAGTTTTGTTAATTAATTAGCATTGTTTTTAACAAATGAAGCTGAAATGGCGTCTTGGGGACCATTGTAACAATAAGTAAAGGGACGATTGTAACAGCTGAAAATAAATAATCTTATGTTTACAAACCATTACTTAACTCTTTAAGAACCACCAATAGTTTCCTATATCATTTATATTATGTTGCATGTGCATTATTTTATTTGTCACCTTTCACAGCATAAATTAAAATTTTTAACCCCTTAAAGTTAAAAGTTTAACCCTTTAGGTCTCTGCTCATTATTATTTTTACTCCTAAAATATCACTACTATTTTGATCAATAAAAAAATATATCACAACTATGATAATATGTATAATTAACTATGTTTTAGTTGAATTTATGAACTGTTACAATTGACCCCGTAAGTGGGGACAATTGTAACAAGTGCACGACTGTCAAAAATTGTTAATAACTAATATAATAACATTTAAAATAAGGTATTTTTTTTTCTAGTAGAGGATAGTCTACTTTACTCGTCTGTCAATTAATACTAATAATGTATTGGATTTTTTGTTAGTTGAAAATAGTTAACTCAAAAATGTTATAATTGATCCTACTGTACTTTACCGCTGCTACCACTAGTAAAAATGTTTTCTAAAACTACGGAAATATCTCGTAATTGTTGGAGGGTATGTAATAGTCTGTTTCATAAAATGCATGAAATGCATACAAAAAACTGATTTATATTCATCCCAGAATGGTGATCGCCTGGTAGTAAGGTCAGTCTTTTAAAGGTAGAAAAGAAGTTTAAAATGATTATGTTAGCTTAGATCATACTCAGATGAGACATACATCTTAACTTAACTGAGCTCCAAGTAATTTGGTGGCAAGTGGCATGTCATGGTTCAGTAATCGCTAGTTACAAAAACCACGGATGCCAAGCGACAGACGCATTAAATAAGTCAAATCAAAAGGAGTTTATTTACAAGGTTTATTTGTGTCTTTAGTCATTTTATTTTGCAGACATGCAGGGCTACCAGCCTTAGGGGGAAATGTCTAATTTGTCTACTGTTTATGATTCTTTGTTCCGTAAATTTTATTTAAAGTTATTTTCTAAACCACTATATACAAATGACTCAAAAACTCATATGAAACACTATTTAGTTTCAGTTTTCTCATGGTGAAGCTTTTAAAACGCTGACAAAATTATCAAAAATTCTGAAAACTTCAGCTTTTAATTGTCAGCTTCATAAAATAATTTTTATAAAATATTTTGCTAAAAGCTAAGTAGCTGGTATGTCCAAAGATGCCAACTGCTCCGGACGCTCCAGAATAATTTTGAAAAAAAAAAAAAACGGTAAATAACTACAAACTAAATTTTGCAAATATTTGACTATTTTTGCTTGCTTTTTGAAAGATAGCATGACGTAACTACTATAAGGTGGTGAATTATATGAGCTTTAGAATTATTTAGAAATAGTGGTGGATAAAAATCTACTATTTGAATTTATTAAACCAAGAAAGACAATTGATAAATATTAAAAATATTTATTTACACTTTA